TTCCTTCCTTCCTTCCTTCCTTCCTTCCTTCCTTCCTTCCTTCCTTCCTTCCTTCCTTCCTTCCTTCCTTCCTTCGCAATAGCAGACTTATATACCGCTTCACAGTGCTTCACAGCCCACTCCAAGCAGTTTACAGAGTCAGCCTCTTTGCCCCCAACAATCTGGGTCCTCATTTTAGCCACCTGGGAAGGACGGAGCCTGGTGGGATTCGAACTGCCAAATTGCAGGCAGCCGGCAGTCAGCAGAAGTAGCCTGCAGTACTGCATTCCAACCACTGCGCCACCTCGGCTCTTCATATCATTCAATAAATCAATGTATTTGCCACAGTTGTCCCTGGGGGTGGTGGTGGTGTCATGTGATTGCCCATCGTGGCGTTCCCAGCCTGCTTGCAACGAGCCAAGCCAGATTCGCTTAACAACTGCAGCGCTCCACTTACCAACCGTGGCGTGGAATGGTTGCAAAAATCTTCCGCAGCTCACCCAGCAGCGGAAAACGCTGGTTACCCATTGTGGGCGTAAGTTGAGGATCCCCTGAACGGGGGAGACTGGAGCAACCTGGGTTTGCAACCATACCCGCCCACATTAGCGCCCTCTCTGACGCTCCACCTCTGACCTGAACCCCTTCTTGTGTCTCTGGGTTAGTTTCCAGGCGGAGCGCCCGGCCCTCAACGTGGTGGTGTTCCCTCTCCTTCACGAAGACCTCACCGAGGTCATCCGGGACGTCCCCATGATGCACCTGGACGAGATCACCTTGTTCAAAAGCCGAGTGGCCGAGGAGCCGCCGAATTTGTGGTGGTGACGGGCGAAGCGCAACCTGGATTATGGACCTGGAAGCCGGTCGCTTTTCTCCTCCTCAGTCGAGAGTCGCTGCTTTTGGAGCCTCGTGGCCATTGTGGGAACGCTGTTCTGTTCTCGATGCTGCTCCAAGGATCCCACTTGGGCAAAATTTGCCCTTGGAGAAAAAAATGTAACCATTATTATTATTATTATTATTATTAAATTCTAGCCCTCCCTTGTTTCTGCAGAAGCTGGGAACGAGCTAGACACGGGACCTCGCCATTTAGGGTTCCCTCCCTTCCTATTTAATGTCTGAATTCTTGTTTGAACTTGAGGTGGGATTCAAGGTAAGAAGAATTTCAGTTTGAAAGAATGTCCTTCCCCTTCCCCTCCTTCCGAGTCGCGCATCGGTCCCTGGTTTGCGGAAGCAACCTGATATTTCTCTCTTCGTTCTTTGGGGTTTTTCTCACAACCTGGGTTGCTTGTGGACTTCAATTCCCAGAGTCGTGTCGAATCACCAGCCAGCTTGAGTATCCATAATTGTGTGTGTGTGTGTGTTTCCGTGGCCAGCCAGCATGGCCAAAATAGGCCTCTTTCTCCCCCCCCCCCTCTTTTCTGGAGGAAGCCCAGGGGTCAAGTTAGCTTCTTATCGGCTGCGGTCCTAATTTGCCAAGAATCGCTGTTTTTTCCTCGGTCCAATACTTTACAAGTAGGCCTCCATTAATGAACGGTCCTAAAGCAGCTCATCCCATGATGGGACTGGAGTTTATGGCTTCTTTTGGCCGCGGTCATTAAGCCGTTGCTGCAGCCGTTAAGCGAATCCATGCGCTCGGGGTTTCGTTTGCCCAGAAACCATCAGCCGGGGCACAATCGTAAGGAGGCGAAGAGACGTCCCTTCCCTTCCCCTGCCCTCCCTCCCTTCCCTGCCCCAGCCTTTTGCTGCGCTCTTGTCGCAAGCCGGTCGCAAGCCATCATTATGCAAGAGAGCTTTCGGGAGAGATGAGGGAAGAGGAGCTAGTGTGTGTCGGGGGTGTCCCTCTCCAGGCAGGCTTCAGCAGATGTTAATAACCCGCTTATTTTCTCTAAGTGCCGTTTTGGCATCGGTGTTAATTACAATTTATATGCAGCGACATTGACTCTGGGAAAAGGAAACACACACGCGCGTACCCCTGCCCCAAATGGTCTCTCGATCGATGGGGTGAGAATTGTAAAGCACGGTGCCATATGCTCCGAGAGTGCTGAGGAGGGAACAGGATGTCAGGTAGAGTCAGACACAAGATGCCAGCCTTTCCTTGCTCTTTTTTGGGGAGTGGGGGGTGGGGGGGGTGTTGATGGTGGCAGCAATCTGAAAACGAGAGGCATTCGAAAGCAGCAAGCCTACATTTGTTTTTTCGCTCATGCCTGGCTTAATTTTCTCGCTCATTCCTGGCTTAATTTTCTCGCTCATTCCTGGCTTAATTTTCTCGCTCATGCCTGGCTTAATTTTCTCGCTCATTCCTGGCTTAATTTTCTCGCTCGTTCCTGGCTTAATTTTCTCACTCATGCCTGGCTTAATTTTCTCGCTCATTCCTGGCTTAATTTTCTCACTCATTCCTGGCTTAATTTTCTCGCTCATGCCTGGCTTAATTTTCTCGCTCATGCCCGGCTTAATTTTCTCGCTCATTCATGGCTTAATTTTCTCGCTCATTCATGGCTTAATTTTCTCATTCCTGGCTTAATTTTCTCGCTCATTCCTGGCTTAATTTTCTTGCTCATTCCTGGCTTAATTTTCTCGCTCATGCCCGGCTTAATTTTCTCGCTCATTCTTGGCTTAATTTTCTCGCTCATTCATGGCTTAATTTTCTCACTCATGCCTGGCTTGTGTCAAGAATCTGGAACAGTTGAGCATTGTGCGATCCAAGGTCCCTGCAAGCATCTGTTGGGACAAGGAAGCATCTGCTGGTGGCCAGTGGCAGATGCCACTCTGCTGTTGCCTGTGACAGCCCGTGGCCACCGGTCTACCAGAAGACAAGCAGCCTCAGGCCTCCATCACATTCTCCAAGCTCCAGAAACCAAGAGCTTCGGGAGCCAAGACAGAATTCCCATCTTTGGAACAATTGAGAATTTGTTATTTACAGTCCTGCTTCTTGTCCTGCAAAAAGAAAAAAGAAAAAAAAGCCCACAACAGACTGACATTTGTTTCCCACAAAGTCAGATGAAGCTCAGCGGACATAAATGAGATCAGAAGGTAGACAAATTTAGTTATAAATATACATTTTTAAAAAAAAAGATTCAAGTGTGGCTCTTCTCTGTTCATATCGAGGCAAAATGCTCAGCTGCCACTTTCTAAGTCATTTATTTTAAGCTGGTCTCCTTAGCCTTAAAATAGCTCTCTTCCATAAGGATAGTTTCTTCCCGAACGTACAGAGAATCTTAAATTAAGCATTGCTAATTAGCTGTTTGATAATTAAATAATGTGGTACTGAAGCAACTGGGGCCCAGGATTTGAGCTTTTCTGTCTGTATTTGTGAATTCTCCTCCTCCCCGTAATGCTTTGAAGTCAACGCTTCCCTCCGAAGATGCAAGATAAAGATTTTTCTTCCCTCTTGTGAAAACTTTGAAAAACGGCTGTCTGAAAACATTAAAGGAAACAAAAAAAAGAAAAGAGAAATGCTTCTCTATTCGGCGTGCCGACCGTTCAGAAACGTGATATTTGATGGAAGGAGAATTCTTATTAAAAAGCATAAAAGAACTAGGTTGGTGGCTCTTTATCTCCCTCTATTTTTACTTCTTCTAATGCTTAAAGGAGAGAGCGTCGGGTTCGTTTGTACAAGACGTGTAATGCAGTGGCAGGGATTTTTCTAAGTCGTACCATTTTATGTGGGGTTGGAAACTATTCGCGGGGACCATCGACCAGCACGTGGAACAGCTTGCTTCCAGAATTTGTGGGTGCTCCACCACTGGAGGCTTTCAAGAAAAGATTGGACAGCCATTTGAGTGAAATGGTATAGAGTTTCTTGCTTGACAGGGAGTTGGACTAGAAGACCTCCAAAGTCCCTTCCAATTGTTGTGGTTCACCGGCAGCAAGTGCAGACGGCTGAGGCCTCGGAGAGCAAGGACTCAGATGAGGGGCCTGCATGTGATGCAAGGATGGGTCCAGGACCACCAGGGAGTGGAGTGCTGCCTTTGGAGCATGGGTGACTTGGGAGTAAGGCTGCAAGGTGGTGGCCCCTCCCTTAAGGGATAAAAGCCAACCTGAGAGACCGGGATTCTTTGCAGGAAGCAAAGAAGTTTTTGCACTCAAGCCTTGTGGACGTTCAGACTCTGTTAGTTGGTGTTTGGAGACTCTTTGTGTTTGAACTATTTCTTGGCAACTTTGTCTAATGTTCTTGGCAGCCTTGCACCACCTTGGCAAAGCTAGTTCTTATCGGAGACAATTAGTTTGAAACAGCCTTTTATCCGTGAAGGAACGGAGTTCTTTGAGAATCATTGAAAGGTTTTGATGTTACCTCTGTTTGGTGTTTTTCTTCCTTGGAACAAGGTTTGGGTCAGAACACCTGAATGTTGTTATACTTTTAGTCTATAACCCCAGATCAATTAAACGGTGGAACGACTTGTTTCCAGAAGTTGTGGATGCTGCATCAGTGGAGGCTTTCAAGAAGGGATTGGACAGCCATTTGACTGAAATGGCATAGGGCCTCCTGCTAGAATAAGGAGTTGATACGAGGAACTCCAAGCAACTCTTTTATTCTATATTCTGTATACTTCAGAGAATTATTGAGTCAACATAAAAGGAATAGATATCTCTCTGTATCTGCCACGCTAAAACTGGCACTCAGTCTAAGTGTTAAGACTCAAATCCCAGGGCAGTAAACAGATAGGAGTCTAGAATTAATGGCGTGCCAGGAATCTTTGAGCGTAGCAATTTGGGGTTTGCTGTTCTAAAGAGAGAACTCCTTTTGAGTTGGGTTCAATTCCTAATTCACTGGATAGATGGAGTTCTGGAAATTTATCCGCCACAGTACGGATATATAAGCCCTTCTAAGAGCTGTTTTTGACACTCTGTCTCAGCTGACAGTCCTGGGATGATTTCACATCTTAAGTTTGAATTCAACCCAACCCTGTGTCGCTTTTCAAGATGAACCGGGACCAAAATTAAAGCAAAGAGAGTGCAAAATAAAATTTGTCGACATTTCCCGAACTGGATTTGCAGCAGGTACCAAGCTACGGTTGATTTAGTCATGTGTAGATTTATTCAGTAAACAAGGAACAAGCCAACCATGGTTTGGCAGGCTCCCATTGGCTACACTGGCATAACCCTATTAAGAGATTAATTAGGAGGCTTCCTTCTGAAGAGACATGAATGGAATTAAACAGTAAAAGTCTAAATATTACGTTTTCCTTTCAGACCGAGAAAAAAATCATCTTGAAGCAGATGTATTTGTGCTTAAGGGCTGCCGCTATTCCCTATACTGATGCCTTTACATTCTTTATCTAATATTTCCTTTTGTTCTATGCTGAGAAAGACAAAGAGACGGTGATTGAAAAAGTTCCTTCTTTGCCATCTGCAGAATAAATTATTTTGGGGAGGGTTGGAAAAGAACATTTCATGAAGGAAGCTACCTGTTTGTTATTGCTACAAGGGGAAAAAAAATAATGTGATTTTCACAGTACAGATAAAAGGAAGTAGAGGGGAGGAGAAACCGCCTCTCTAAGGAAGAGATGACTTCCCGTTAAGCGACTGTTATCAAATTAACCTCAAATGGCAGCAAAGACAGCCAAGTATTTAGGGGTCTCTTGGGGGTGGGGTGGGGTGGGGGCTTGGCAAATTGGTTCACGAATACAGTTTGTTTTATGGGGAAAAAACATGCAGGAAACTGGCTAATTGAGCCTTTTCGTACTGGGGAGGAGAATTAGCAACTCAAAACAACTTCAACAACTTCTTCTTCTTCTTCTTCTTCTTCTTCTTCTTCTTCTTCTTCTTCT